TTGTTATTAAAAGTTTGCATTTCTCCAGCTTTTCAGCATGACTATTTTACTTTGGGGCACTCCATTAATCAAACCCACACAAGCTTTGTTGGGTCATGTTCGTTCCATCACCTATTTATGTAGCCGTAAGTCATCAGGTTAAACAAGCTGCAGAGGGGTTATAAAGTTTTTGCAAGTTGGTGTTTTTTGCTTTTCCTTCAAACCTGGAAATTTGATATGTATCAGTTGTTGTGGCCAGGTCTTTTTTGTGCTTGGGCCATCACACTGTGAAAGCGAATGACTTAGACCTCAACCAGGTATGGGTATCTTTTGAATAGTTATTCTTCTGTTATGCTTCCAACTAATCTTCCCTTTTTACCAAGTTTTCAAGATACAAAGGTGTGTGCCTGGTGTACATTGGGAGCTCCAGTCCTCATTGATCCTCTTTATGGCACATCCAGTGCTTCAGAATGGTGGATCTATCCTAATACCACCTCACAGCGCTGCAACCCCTGTTTGCACATGGAGAGAAGCAAACTACTGAGCTGAGAGAATGGATCTGAGATTTCTCTGGGCTTCTGAGATAGAGTGGCTGGTTAAACTCGGGTCTCCTAAATCTCATGCTTGAACCTAATCAGTATTTGGGAAAAAAATGTAGGAATATTTCGCATGTTAATGAAGTGCTGTTTGTAATGGATGACACAAATATGGGGTTTGAGCACGTTTTTTTTTTCCTGTGATTCAGACATTAGTCTCTACAGCCCCTTAAACATAAACTGGGGTACAGTATATTAATACTTCATGTATTTTTAATTGAATAACATCGTTATGGAGTTTGCTGCTTGCAAATCCCCACTAATATCCACATTTCTCCTGTAGAAATCTGTGAAACTGAATCTCTCCTGCAAAATTACACTAAGCCATCTTTAGCATCCTGCTACTTAGCAAGGACCTTTGGTCCTTGTTTCTCACCTCTTTTCCTCAGCTACAGCACTTGTCAGTTTGTATTATGCATACTTGTAAGTAATAGAAAATGAAAAAAGATATTATCCAGGTAGAAGGGCATGGAAGTTTTACAAAGTGAGCTTTGAATAATACCAAATGATAAATAAAGTGTTAGATTTATAAATGTATATATGCTTTTTTTTTTTGCATATATATATATATATAAATATATAATATTGTTATCATTTCCTCTTCCAGTAGCAGCTAAGCTCCAATACTGGAATATATAACAGAAGTTTTACTGTTGATCTCAACTGTGTTGGGTCATGCCAAGAGGATAAAATAAAAACCAACTGTCACGTATGTTTTGTTCCCTGAATTTACATTCTTTTGCCTTGGTGGTAGAGCTGGCCATCCTCTTTGGGAAGCCAAACACCTAATGAGGAGAGATGCTTAAGTGAACACTATTGTTCGAGTCAGTCCTGAAGCTGAGAAGAAGGATGGGAAGGCTGCATGCAAAAAATAGAGCAGCTCTGACTTTTCCCAGAAAGCTTGTCAAGGAAAAAAAAGATGTTCAGAGCTGGTATTTTTGCACTACATATTCAACATTCACAACAAACTCAGAATGCCAAAAAAACACGGATTTTAATTGGAATGAAATGAAATGTGGAGCTTTGCATGCTGAATTGCGGGTTCTGTGCCCTGTTTCTTCTCTTTGTAAGGGAAATCAAGGTTAACCGCAGCAATCAGATAGGGATTCCTTTTGTGTAATTGAATTTTTGATGGCTTTAATCCACCTACCAATGGTTTATTACATAAAAGCATGTCAGGGAGCAGAAAGGGAATGTCTGGAGAGTTCAGCAATACAGAGCCAACAGAACGGTTCCAGGTGCTGTGAAGAGGAGCAGGCTTCCAGCTCTTGTAACTGTCATTGCAGACCAAATACTCTGTCCCCAAGTCCCAAGGAAAATACCAGTGCTGTGACACACCAGCCACAGCTGAGGTGCATTTGCTGTAGTTCTGGATCTACAAGTTTTGTTCTGCTTTTAATACTGAACTGTGAAATAATAAATGTGCATTTGCAGACTTTATCTGTGGGCCTTGCCAGAGATATGTCATCTGATTGTGCATGTAGGTAGCATTTAACATAATCTGCCCTGGCACATTCATAAGATAAGACAAAAATAATATTTTATCACCATGCAGTAACAGCCTCTTATCAAACTCCAAAGTCTTAATTAGGGATTTCTCTCCAGGTCCCCACTTGTCTGATGACCATATAAATATCTCAATTAGATAATTAATATAGTCCATACTGCATGATAGTATACAGCAATTTAAAGCAGTGAGCTCAACAGAAACATTTCTGTTTTATATTGGTAGGAATTCAGCTAAATATGGGAATCTACAAGTTCCTCTTCTGATATTGATTCTATTTTTTAACTTTTTAGAATGCTATTGTAGAATGCTATTGTCTCCGTTCTTCATACACTCTGAGAGATGACAGGATATTGGGTTGTTTATGATGCTTGGCCTGAATGTCATTTTGTATTTTATTTCAAGTTTTAATCGATTTTTGGTCTGTAGTGTGCAGATCAATATGCATACAAGATGTACACATTCTAGAGTGGGAAGACCTACCCAGGGCTTCATTTATATTCCAAATCTATTACCGCTATTTTTCTCAGCTAGAAGCTTCTTGCAGATTTAAACAGGAGCTTTCAAGTTCCTTATCCATTTCTACCACTATAGGAATTCTGCCTAATATTTAAACAAGTTTTTAGTGAATGAGACTAACACTGAGAGGTAATATCTTAGTTTGTAAGTCATACAAAGCCATTAAGCTTCCAGAATTTTCCCTTGCTTGTTCTTTAGATATAAGGTGTTGTATTTGTGGGTTTTTTTCCAAGTAATGACCAAAGATAAAATGGCCCATGAAAGCATTCACAGTCTGAGGTGCTTGTGTCTTCTAACCTCCTTGCAGATCCAGTCTGGAACAAGGTGGACCAGCCATGTGGGAAAGAGTATTACATTAATTTCCCAGTAAAAGACAGCTGAATAGATGAGAGCATTGCTTTGGAACATCTCCATGTTTCCTCTTGGGTAGTGGTAGCAGAGTCTGACCCAGGCTATGCATAGCCAGTACAAAGCTCTAGAGATATAAACTGAACATTGTCATCCTTTGAACTTAACATACTCAGAGACGTCGATGTCAGAAACCAGAGTTAATTGTGTGTAGCAAGATCAGAGGCCAAATTTACAGGTAATCTAATATAAAGAAAATTAATACCAGAAAGCCAATAAAAATTGAAAACTCATCTGAAGAACTGAGGTTGCTGCTACTGAGTTTGTAGCATCTGCTTAGAGATACATCAGTAAGACTTCATCAGCTTAGAAAGTCTGCTTGTGGTTGGATTTATCCTGATCAAAAAGCCTACTAAAGAAAAAGAAGGAATTACAGGAACAGTAGGAAAAGCACAGAGACAAGGAAGCTGGCCTGATGCCACAACGCAGTGCTGGCCTCAGGAACATGAATTCTAATGCTTGGAAAATACAGTAATGGCCCGCATCACAAAAATGACATTACTGATGAAACATATTGGTTAAATCTTGGGGAACCTGAAGTTGACTGCAGAGGGGCTGATGATCTGCTCTATGTTTATGATGGTGAAGCCATTGATCAACAAAAACTTGGCAGAGGAATTTTGGACCACTATGAATTTATTTGTAAATGTGTAACGGGCTGTCTAAAAATGTGAAACATTTAAAAAATTCTGAAATACTATTTTAACTAATTCAGAAATTTGACTCAGAAAATGATTTTTGAGTTTTTGTGGTTTCCTTGTTTGGGGTAGCTTATTATTTTACTATGTCAAAAGCTTAGTATGGATGGAGAATAATTCCTACGATCACCTAACATTTACGTGTTCTATTGTTGCTTTATGCAAAGTCCTGATTTGCCAGTGCTTTTGGTGGTGCATGGGAGAGGAGGAAATTTCAGAGGAATCACTCTGGTTTTGGATCTGGGGCTGACCCTGTCCGGGACACTTAAATTTTGCATTTCTGCTGCTCTCTCCAGAGCTCACTTTGGACAGCTACTGCTTCTTATTATGTGTTTGCATCTAGCTATTGTTTGGGGCTCAGAAATTATGCTACAATGTACATAAAGTTACTTTGGGTGTTGCATTTTCTGTAAAATTTGAAAGGGTTCCTTCTGTTAAGACTACTTGCTTTTTGTCACCTGTTATACTCCTTTTTATCAGATTTTCTGGTATCAAACTGATTTACCTATGATACTTCTTTCTCTCCTGAGAAATTCACGTCTGTCTCTAGCATCTGTCTCTAGCTTCATTCAAAAACAGTGGTGGGGAGATCATTAATTTTATGGCTATATTTGTATCATTGAGTCTCTGTCAATAAATCATTTCTGATTTTCAAGAACCTGCAGCCTCTACCTACAATAACTTTCAGAAGCAGAGCTAATGCGGAGCAGCTAAAAATAATCATGTGGAACAAAAATGAAAAAATACAGAGAAGTCAATGTTGTGAGTTAACACTGACATATTTTTACCAGAAAAGGACCAAAGAATCAGCAAAGCATCAGCTTGTTTCAGCAAAATTTATAGTAGTAATCAGTTCCTGTACAGCTTTGATACCCTTTCAGCTTTTGACTCTTGATTTAAATCACTTCTGTGGGAATATTGTGAATAAAGCAGCACCCTGCACACAAGTACAGTTCACAAAAGGCACTAATCCTCTCCCCAGAAGTTCCACCTCTTTTTTTTTTGTAAAGGCATTTTGCTCAGCACAGCAACTCACATAGGCAGATATTCACTGGGTTTCAGTGTGAGGTAATGTGTTAAGGTCCTTAGATTGGATAAATAATGCTGACTCCTAGAGTGTGTCTGGGCCTGGCTGTAGACACACCGTCTACATGGGTGTCCAAGTACAGAGTACTGGATTCATTCCATGATGAGCTGAGAAGTGCACCAACAGACCAGGTGGGATCCTGAAATGTGATTTATATTTATATTCATATTCACTGCTATCCCTTCTTCTCATCCTTTGTTTTCTAGGACAGACAAGTGGCAGAACAAAGGAATAAGCCGCTTCAGAGACTGTGGTTAAACAAATTCCTCCTCCTTCAATAAAACAGAAGAAAAGCTTTGCGATTCCTGAACTCAGTGTCTCCATTCCTGGGACAGTGCAGTTGTGACCTCTAATCCCTCCCCAGGATGTATTGCTGCAGCCTCAACTGAGAGGCAACATGTATGTACAGTTGCTTGGGGCAAGAACTCGCATGGGTGTCAAAATGTCAGAACAGTTCCTCTGCCGCCTGCATTTACACTTCTGGGACTGAGGAGAGCAGAAGTTGCAAGCTTGCATTCTCCTTCCAAATTTCCATCCTATTTTTAAATCGCATCTTTTTGGAGGGTGGGAGGGAGTAAATCAAGATGTAGATATATACTTCAGAAAGAACATGTTCTACATGTTTTTTTTTCAGTTGATATAAAATAAGACATTTCTTTTAAAAACAAGATTTACTATTTCTGGAATAATTGCAAGTATTTATTCAAACCAAGGCTTTTTTCCTTCATTGTCATTTGGTAAGTATTTCAGGTTCTAACACCCAAAAACTCGGAGAAAACAATACTAGTTAATTAAAAGGGAACAAAAGTAAGCCAGTTAAAGCTTTTACAAAATTAGAACTGTTTTCTGTAGCCCTCCACTTCAGATGCTGTATGCCAGGGCTCAATCTTTGGATTTCTTTAATCATTTGGATTGCCCTGTTCTTCCTCCTGATTTATCCAGTGGTGCAGAAGGATTACATCAGCATAATGGACACAATGTTAAGTGTCTACATCAGTATAATCAGCTTGACAGTGTTCTGATTTATTCCTTCTTGAAAAGTGTGGCATCATAAAGATGCTGTACTGTATATAGCACCACTTAGTGGCAGAAGGCTATTTCAAATTCCCCCTTCTGAAATCTAATCTGAGGAACTTTGTTCCAAGTGAGACCAAACCAATACATCCATTTTCCCTGCTTCCTGACTTTGCACATTCAGAGTCCCCCAGTGCTGCTATGGGTCTCCCTCTCCAGCACAATAGCACTCTGGCTCTGAGCAGAACAATCACAGCATATCCCTTCTCTGTCTCTTTTCTCCACTCCACTCATGTGTGTTCCTCGTTTGGCTGTGCCCACCGAGATGGACAAGTATCTTTTGCCTGTGTTAGAGGCTGATCTCAAGTTATGTGTTGTGTGTAAATCGAAAGGTGCTACCCTAACTGCTGTTATACTTGGCTATCAACACAATGAACAGAAAATAGGAAAACATCACAAAGCAGGCTGAGGGTGAATCCCTGCTTTCAGGAGCCAGAGCAATACCAAAACGACTCAGACAGGTATTTTTCTTTGCACAACACTAATGTCAGGGTTGTTCATCGTTTGATAGTGAAAATAGTGAAAGTAGTTCATTGTAGTGAATTTTAGCAGTGTTAGCAGAAGTTTCTCGCTTTGGGGATATAAAGAGAACTACTCTGTTTAGGGATAAAGGAACCTGTAGTAACATCAGTGCTTGGAAAAATTAAAACAGATGGATACTTCCTTCCTCACCAAAACTCACTGAACCTTCCAAAGGGATATTGTGCTGTCATACTACAGCCCCTGCTTGCATGGGAAGAAAGGGTGCTTCATCAAGAAACATAAAGTAAAATCTGCTGTTTATAACACATATTGGACAAGCAACAGCAGGCTGCAACCTTCAGCTTTAATTTTAATGACACTATCTCATGTGCCATTGCAGTAATTTTGTTTTTTCTGAGTGTTTCTTTACAGTACTTATAGAAATGGCTCTTTTCAAGCCATAGATTAGCACATTATGGCTATAAGTGAATGGGAAAACAGTAATGGTAGAGACAATAAGTTCCATTCTTATTGTAAAGTTCCTCACAAGCATTTGCAGTTTCTTTCCAGTGCCCTATCAGCTGTATTCTGATCGTGTGTTCTGCATCAGTTATTCCAACACAGTACTGAGAACCAATTTTTTCAATCAGTTGTGTCCAAAATGCATATGCAATCTCACATCTGAGTTGTGTGTACAATTACTGAGATTCCATGCGTGCATTGGGTAATTTCTCACATAAATGCACTTAATTAGTCATCTGTGCATGAGCTTTCCTATTTGCATACATACTTAGGGCAATTTTGCATGCAAATTAAGCACTTTATATATATATATGTAAAAGTTTGACTCTCATCATGTTTACTAAACAGAAGCTTATGTTAGATCTGGAAGAAAATAATTAAGTTGTCCGACAGCACACAATACAATGTGGTAGCTTGCATATGGGTTATTATAGTGTCCACATCCTGCTGAGGTTTTCACAGAAAGGTTATTAGATTTATCTCTCATAAAATACTTGAGGATCAGCTGTGTAAATGACCAATCTGTTGAAATATCCGGATAGGTGAAGTACGGGTTATGCAATTCTGCCCATAACTTGCACCAGATATAATTTGTATTTGTTGTTGAAATCTTATAATAAAAATGTCCCATCTCAATCCTGTGCTTCTTCTGAGGCTACAATAAAACTTGCTAGGTGATTTTGACATTTCGTATTGATGGATTAGTACAATCATTGTACAGTCATATACAATATGCTTTATTAAACCACAAGTCTGCCTGTAACTCATAATGGAAGATGGTGTAGGAATATCTCCCTTAGTATTTCTCTCTCAGAGAGACCAAAACCACACATTATCCATTGTCTGTCAGAGTTACTTTTTTAGCTGGGGGTTACCCAGTCTTGTAGGTACCGATATTTTTAGTGCCTACACACGTCCTAGACACAGTGAGAGCCTAACTTAAAAGCATGTGTGCGGTTTGGAACAGATTAGATGATGTGAGACCACAGGATCTATTGGTCAGAGTTAACAGGATAACTACAGATAATCTCGTTAGATGAATGCATGAACTTGAAAAATAATTCTTTGGAGTTCAGATATTTCTGGACACTGCCAAAAGGCAGCAGTTACTCTGTACACAGAACTCTTGGGGCTTGCGCAAGAACCCCACCGACACCAAAAAATAGCACATATCACTTGAACAGTAGAGTCAGGTCACAACCACCAATGGCAGTTAGCAAAGTTTTTTACCTTGTGACTCTTTCTCTTCTTTTCTGTTTATGTGTGTGTGGAGGACTTTGGGTTTTAGTATTTTTAGCCTGCAATCACTCTATTATTCAGCTTACCGGGTATACCACATTCCTAAATAGTTCCCTTTCTTTTATCTCTAGGCTTTATTTCACTTAGGCATGTAATATTAGTAGTAGAACTCCTCCACACCATATTATTATCCTTATTTATAGCTAAATCATAGTGATTCAGATATTCAGATAAATTTCACATACATCTGTAACATGGCTGAAGTTTCATGGAGACAAACATTAAATTTCTCACTGCCTTTTTAAACTGGATATGTACTGAATTTCTTCAAGTGTGTGATATTTTGTCATGAAGTAATCTCTTACAAAAGCCCATCTCTTCCTCTCTCTCCAAGTTTTCTTTTCTCATCTTTTCAGCTCTCCTATTCAAATCCATAAGCTGTCAAATCTGTCACTTGTAAAGTGTTTTGTCTTCCAGGTGGGTTTTGACCAAAGATGCTGACAGCTCCAGAAAATGACTTCATACTAAATAGGTAACCGGGGCTTTCTCCGAGGAGTTCTGCCTCAGCATTTAGCATGCACACACACACCTTTAGAGTATCTGCTGTGGTGCTAAAACTGTTGGATATATGCAGGAGGAAAGAATATTTGGGAGGCATACAAAAAAGTTGGATGCCACAAAAGGCAGAGAGAGCTCAGAATAAAACTTCTATTTATGCTTTAACAATCTGTGCAGAAGAAAACATGTACTTGTTTTTTCTGATGAAGAAAAAAAGAACATGTATTGTCAGTAATATAACAAAGCCCGATCAGGACCTCACATTTTTGATAGCTAGAAGAGTGATCATTTACTAATATTTCTGCTTGTGTCAGTGTAACTTATTTTGAGATGTGGGCTGGAATAAGTTACATCAATATGAACATTTTAGTGTCGGTAGAGCCATGTTCACCAAAAGGGGAAAGGCAGGCAATGGTGAAGTGATGAGGAGAATTGCTGCTATAAACATTAAAACCAGCGAAAGCTGCAAGTCTGAAAAATCCCCATTTTCCTTTGGCAGTCCCTGTAGAAGCCTGTTAATTATGTTGATATGCGTTTGGAGTGTTCTGATGTGTGATGAGTAAAAATTACAGAGCTGTAAGGATTCCTAGGGTAGACCCTGACCCTTCCCCTGGTACCTTGTTGCATCTGTGAGTATATGCAGTGGTACGGGAGATCACAGGGAAAGCACTTGTCAGAAAATCCTCCTCAGCTGCTGAGGAGGGTGCTTGGAGAGGGTGGGGAGGAAATCACTTGGTTTATATCACTTCAATAAGGTTCTTCTCAGATTGCTGTTACAGCGTAAAGCCTGGTGTGAATGCAACCATTTTTAGATGATGACTACTTTAGGTAACTCTTTGTTTCTGAGGTGATGACACAATCACGCTTAAACACATGCTTGTATGAAGAGTGCCTTAAAATCAGTGAGTTTGTGGAGGCTTTGGGGAAATTGGGAATCTGTGGCCTTCCTCTCACTTGTAAGAGGGCACAATGGCTGTTAATTATTGGTTTTGCTAAACCTGGTGGGGTTTCATTGTTCCCGTGATCTGAAGCATTGCATCACAGAGTGGCCTGGGAAGCTGGCTGCCTGCTGTGCCTGGCATCTCTTGGAGTATATTCTCATGGTGATGTTTTGTCTGAGGCACCCATGTTTGCCCATCAACCAGAGAGGTCATATTCTGAAGCTGTTACAAGGGGAATATTGACATAAATAGGCACATAAAATAGGTATCTTGTGAGAACAAACCTAATTCTGCTTTAGTTGTTTTTTTTTAATACCAACTTCAGTCCACCGTAATGACACAGACCTGTGAAACCTCTCAGTAAACTTTTGCCTTTTTTTCTCCATTTTTGCAGGAATAGACTATTTTAATAATAAAAAAGTAGAAACCTTACTGTTTTGCATAGTTCAGTTTTGGTTTACAATATTTTAATAAGAGTTACGTTAATATAAGGTGTGTTATCTCACCTAAGGTGAGAGACAAAGAATTGGGATTTTAAAATTGATTTTAATATAGCCATTGCTGGCATGCTGCCATAAATGCTTGCATAGTTCAGGGAGGACACCACAGTGTGTCTCATAATTGGAGGTCAGACTACACTAAAGTTGGCCTCCCTTGGTCAGTGTAATTAACTGAGCACGAAGGTTTTGTATAGGGCCTCTGAAGCTGTATTTTCCTCATTGCCATTCACATTACGAACTCAGAAAGAGAATCAATAGGATCCACAATGTACTTGATCAGTAGATAGTGTAAAAGAGAGAAAGTTCAAATTCCTTGGCACTGCAGAAAGCAGGCGCTGTCTGGCAGGACTGAAAATGTGACTTCAAAAATCATGTTTAACCAGGAAGGTAGATATATCATTCTCACCATTCCAGCACACAGCACATGCAGGGTAGTACAGAATCAGTTTAGATTAAAGCATATTCTGTTCCCATTCAGTGCTGCTTTTTCCTGTGGATTTGTTCTTCAAGTCACTTTCTCCTCTGCAACTCATCATTTTGTCTTTAGATTTTGTACTGGAGCCAGGTCATAGGTAATCCAGAATTTTGAGTTGTGCCCAGCCATTTGTGTAGTTGCAGTAATTTGCTGCTGCTTAAAAAAAGTTACATAAATGTACCAAAGTCTGCCTTTTACTGTTATTATTTTCCCTCTATGGTTGTGACCTTCCTACACAGGAGCATCCTTTGTTTCCTGTGTTGGTTTCTGCCTGGGTCTGGTAGATGCTTAGGTCTTTCCCTGCTCATTAATTTCTCTTAAACTTTGATTTATCTTTCACTTTGGTTCCGTCTTGTCCCATCTTCCCTACACATCATAAAAAGATCCCAAACATGAATGAAATCTGAAAGCATTTCCCAGTAATTTCAGTTCCGAACTACTGACATAAATGTATTATTTGCCATTATCTATCACTGCAGAGCCATCATTATTTGTCTGGTTCTGTCCTTTCTTACTACTTTTGACGCAAATCAAAACTAGTAATAATGACTCTTGAAATCACTGACCAGCTCGCGTTCTCCTATTTAAGAAGCAAGAACTGTCATGTCGTACAGAAGAAACCTGAAGTGTGCTCTGCACACTGTATTAATTTAATTTCTCCTTACTTATCTGAGATTTCAGTAAAACAACTTTTTATCCTTAGCATCTAGTCCATAACTATTTACTTGAGTTCAGAGAAACATTCAGTTATCAGAGGATTAAACAGGTTAAACCAGTGGGAATATTTCCCAAATAAGGAATTCAGATATCAGCCCTAAGCTAGGAAGGCAAAAGCCTCTTGAGACTTTGTTTTCTCACCTCCTGTCCATTTAATTTGTTATTCCCATACTTTCATATATTTGATGGCTGCTTGACAATTCTATTGTATGTTGTACTGTCCCTTAGTGATCACACCTCCCTCTCTCTCATTTCCTATCTGTGGTCACACAGCTCACATCTGATACTCATCTCCACCACTAAGGGTTCTATTGTCCCCTTGGTATGTACGCACAACTCCCACTGCTGTCAACAGGAATTACATGTGTGCCTCAAGGAGAGAAAAATCCCCTGTGTACTCTACGCTCCTCATTATCTTGGCACAGTCAGTTCTGTAGATGTCTTGTCTATGAGCCTTTTATTCTCTTGAGTGTTGTGCAGTATAGCAAGTTGGCTCTTAGGATCAGCAGTTTTGCTCTTGAGGTGTTTAGCAAGTTGATTTACTGTGCATGTGTATGCTCTTCAACGTCTTCAGCCAGCCAAATCCACATCTTGCAGCATTCATATGTTAGACAGTAGAGCTTCCTATTTTCTTTTTATGCAGGAATACCAATTCATAGTCTCCCAGCAGACTCAAGGCAAAGTGAGAGTCTGAAGCTAATCCTCCTAAATAACATATGTTCAGGCCCAGCTCAGACCTGTATGCTTAAATGCAATGGTTTGTGAAAAATTCAATAGGTACAAAAATGTAAATGGCATATTTTAATTTTTCTTAAAGATCCAAAGGAAGATATTTTATAAGCACTTCATGTCAAGTGCTTCCAAACAAGGAAGTAGTTGAAATAGTAGCTGATCAGTTAGCAGAACTTTAATTCCTTCCAAAATTAATTGGAGTGTCAAGAGTTGAAGGAAAATGGTAGAGTGAAAACAAGCACATATGCAAACCACTGATTTCCACTGTGTGAACATTGGATTTGTGTTCTCTTCTGGTCCTTCTGGAAACACGTCAGCTTGTAAAAGTACCCGGTGTTATTAGAAGCATATCTGGAAGCGTACTCACAGATACCACAGCTTAGAAAAGAGGGATGGCAAACTAATTTGGGAAAAAAATCAATTTCCCATCAGATTAGAAATCAACTGTAAACATGTTGAAGAATTCTGGGTTTTTTTTTCACTACTGCTCTGCCTTTTCTTCACAATCTGTTGTGGTGTCAGACTTATTTTGACAATACTTGCAGAACTTGTCATATTAGCAAAGTCATCAAACAGAGCCAGCACATGCACAGCAACAGCTGTAGTTCAGCAAGAGTCAAAGGAACTGGCCATAGGTATTCGCAAGGAAACAGCCACACTGTACTTTCACAAATCCAAAATATCCCCAGAAGTCTCCTGAGTACTTGTAGTTTCATTTAAATAGCAACAACTGCAGCTGCCCTTCAACCTGGCACAATTTACTCCAAACTTTGTTTAGGATAAAAATAAAAGGAACAAATTTAGATTTTATATATACAGATAAGGACTTATTTTTGCTATGATGGTGTCACTCGATTATTTCTGCCTTTGTGAAAGTGCTTCACAAAAAATTGCTAAATTCAGTGCAATGATGGGATTTACTCAATGTTATGTAACAAACTCAGAAATACTTGTTTAAAAACAGAATAAACCCCATAATCCAGTAAGACTGTAAATTGGTGGAGTAGGAACAATCTTTTCATTATTCGTGTCTACAGAGCGTAACACAATGAGGTCTCAGTTCTTCGCTAACATCTCTAGGTGTTAGCACAATTCTATTAAATCTACTCAGTAGCAAAAGAGGCCGTCTGTGGATTTATGTGTCTCATTCCTTTGGAAATGTGTGAATATAACAGAATAGTTTAATGGCCAGATTTTTCAGATGCAATGTCTGATTTTGCACGTACATCAGATAGAATGCATCTATTTATGCAAATTGCTGTTGGATTTATATGCACAAAATATACATGCCTGAGAACTCCTATTTGTGGCATTGAGCTGTATTCAGAAAGGAAAAAAATCATATTTGGATGCCAGGGCCACGCTGTAGGAAAATAGCAGGAGCCATACTTAGCACTCAGAACCACTGCTTTCCATTTTCACTTGTCTGTGAAAATGAAACTGACCTTAAGTTTCACTTTCCAGCCGTGTTTTGATCTGCCTTTATCTTTACACCAGAAAACCTCTAGTTTAGTGCAATTAGCTTTATCTGTTACTGATGTGAACACGGACTAGGCCTGACATGTCGGTTTTCCTCTAAATAAAGAAGGTCCAGGCACACACTGTACACAGCTGAGGAGCTAGTTCTGGCACTACCCATTTTTCTACCTGATCCCAAAACTGACATTCACCCAAATCATTCTCTTCTCAGGACACCACCTGCTGTACCATCCGCTGTTTCTGCCCAGGGTTTAGCTAACCCATGGGCAGAGTTAACCCCCGGAACAGCCTGGCGAACAGTTCTTACCTGCCAACCCTCAAGTCCTTGTGGCAAGCTAGGGGTTTCCCCAGGGCCATGTTTTCCCAGGTACCCCACGGCTGCCCTGCCAGGCCTCACCCTCCCAACAAGGTGATACCCAGCGAAGACCTCTGCAGGCTGGGGTGATGGGGTTGTGATTCCCTATGGTGTCATTTTTTCCTCTCTCCAAATATCTTGGTTTTTCTACCAAAATCGATGTTTTTTCCTCCCCAGCACATTATTTTTTCCCTGTAGATGTGCTGCTCCCCACATGCCACCTTGCCCTCACAGCCCAGGCTATCCTCTTCTCACTGGACGCATCCATCATCCCCCATAGATGTCTCTCCTGCGGACACGCTAGCTTTTCCTCACTGCATACACTCGTTTCCCACCTGGACACGCTACATCTGTCACTCACGGGTACATCTTTCCCTGGATATATTAGCTTTCCCTGGGGACATCACTTTCCCTCAGTGGGTACATCCCTCACGTGGATATTCTGTCTCCTTCCCCTGGCTGTTTCCCTTGCTCTCTGCACAGGTACCTTTGCTCTGCGCGCATTCTCCTGCCTGCCGCCCCGCGTTCTCATGTGCGCTCCGAGGGGCGCACCGGCACCCGACACCCGGCCCCCGCCGTCCCCTCCGCGCTGGCCGCGGCGGGGCGGTGCCTGTCGCTTTAAGGCGGCGCGTGCCCGCGCGGTCGGTGGGCGGGGCTTGGGGGCCGCGCGCGGCGGGCGCTTCACCTGCAGCCCAGAGCGGGCAGCGAGCGGCGGCGGGACCGGGGCGGCAGCGGCTCCACGGCCCCGGCTCTGCGCAGCGCGGCTCGGCTCGGCTGCACCGCCACAGCCCGCGCGGCTGGGCCGGCCGGGGCCATGAGGGCCGGCTCGTGGGTGCTGCTGGCGCTGCTCCTTCCCGTCCGGGGCTCGGTGGCAGCGGTAAGTGGGGCTGCACCGCGGGGATGGGGTAGGGGGGGAAGTCAGCGCTCAACGGCTCCGCGCCCAGCGGAGCTTCCGCTGCCTCTCCGCGCCCTCCGCCTATACCCGCTGCAACTTCGGGGTCCGTGCGGCCGGGGTGCGGGAGCGTGAGAGTGGGTGAGCGGGAGCGGTGCCCCCGCAGCTTCCCGCCGCCTTCGCCGCTTCTTCCTTGTTTTTATCCTCTTTGCGGTTCGAAGTCACTGGTTTTTAACGCCGTCGGTCGCGTTGCATCTGGTGCCTCCGCCGCGCCGGTAGAAACTTGCCCTCCGCGGTGCGCGGCTACCGGTAAACTTCGCTGTAGCGGCGCGTCCCGGTGCCGCCGCTCCCGCGGAGCCTCCGCGCCCCAGCGCCGCCGCGCAGCCCTGCCCGCTCTCTGCCAGCCGCCCCTCCGCTGCCGCCGCACCGGCAACTTTTGTCTTCACGAGCCCGTAAACACGGAGTGGGCCTGATCCGCGCTGGCGACAGCGGCCTGAAAAGTTTGGGGTTTTCAGGGTGTCCCCCACAAATTAAGGGCTGTCCGCGGAGCATCAGCAGGTGGCGGAAAGCGTGGCTGCAGCGGTACTGGGTGAGGGGGGCGGCTGCTGTGTTCGATGCTGGGCTGGCCGCGGGAACAAGAGCCGCTTATTTTCGTCCCTGAATCCCCCTGTGCCAAGTTGAATCCGTGGTGTCCCGAGTGCAAGCCCTCGGGAGGCTGGCGGCTGGGCAGAAGCAGCCCCGGTGCGCTCGCAGCTAGCGAGCACCGTTTCAATAATTGGGCGATTTCCGATCCAGAGCCTGTTATCTTCAGTCAGACCTTTTGAAATATTTCTCAATGGCAACATCTTGTCAGCGGCGGTTAGAGTCCACAGAGCCGCCGCTTCCCTGCGCTTCCCATGCAGTAGCTGGCATCCGTCTCCCGAGCGGGATTTCTAGCAGAGTACGTTGGCTTGCTTTCTGCTTACTAAGCTCTTCCGAAAAGGACCCTCCGCTCCTCTTCCCTTCTGCCTCTCTCCGTACTGCAGCATCATCTGTGTCCAGGAGTGTTTCGGGGACCCCGGGGGAGCCGTTCTCGTCTCCCCGGGAAGGCAGGAGCACGCCTGGAGTTGCACTTTATTGGGGAAGTGACTCTCCCGTTCCCTTGGCTTCGGCTGCGGGGACTGGAGGAGTCGGAGGTGCAGCCTGCATCTCTAAGCGATGCTCTGGTTTAGCCCTGCCGGCAGTCCGTGAGTGTTAGAAATCCCTTGCTACCGGCACTTGCTTGTGCATAAGGCACTTGGCACTTCTTAGGCATAAATCACTGCCTCATATGCCTTCAGTGAGTTGGGGTCTGCGTCCTTCCTTGTAGGGGAATGAGTACCTCATCCCAAGGAGCCTGGAATGCCATGACAGGACTAACCTGTCTGTGTGGCAGGAGCTGGTTCCCTGCTAGGCAGTCCAAAGTTACAGGAGATTGTTTAGCTGGGTGCTTCCGCCGGGTCCTGGCAGGTTGTGTGTGGGGCTGTGCCATTCAGTAACGATGTATTTTTCATTGGGCATCTCCTCCCCAGTGCTGGACAGGCGCAGAGCCTGGAGGGTCGCAGAGGCAGCAGCTGGCAGAAGGGGAAGGAAGGGGGCTTTAGGTGGTCGTAAGTTCCTGAGGCTGCTGGGAGCTGGGATTTTATTCCTCCTGGGGTTTGCCCAGATTCTTGGTAGCAAAACTCAGTGATTTGGGTGTTGCAACATCAGGCCTTTGCGTGGCTTCTGTATGAGTGCTAGCCTTGATGAATTGCTGCTCTTTGTTTCATCCCCTCTTCTGACAGTGCCCAGTATCCCAGCCTTCCTACAAACAGTGCTCTCTTGTAGTCAGGCAACTATGTGCTGGCCCGTTTTATTTCTGCAGTTACAGTATGGATCCGCTCCAAGAGATAGGCACTTCAGCACAAGCAGTTTCTACTTGTACACTACTTTATTGTTCAGGTTTGCCTGTACCTAAACACCTAGTCATCGGGTGCAAAATGTTTTCCCAAGTGACAGAAGTCATGGTGTGTGTCTTCCTCATTTTGTTTTTGCAGGCACACAATGGGGATCTTACAGTTAGACCCACATGCAAGCCTGGCTTTTCAGAAGAAGACTACACAGCATTCGTCTCCCAAAGCATCATGGAAGGGCAGAAGTTACTCAAAGGTAAGTGGAATAAAAAGCTTAATAGGTTCTGCAATAACTGTGTTTTCAGGAGGTGAAAGGAGGTTTAAAGATGCTGGTTTTGATGGTGAAATTGTCTGCAGAATTATGTTTGTAGGAGGATGAAACACTAAGTGGTTTACCTGAGTGCGGTTTTGAATACAGATGGATCGTTCAAAGTCTGTGTGCTGTCTGCTTCAGGTAGATTGTTTGCCTATAATATGCGAGGTCATCATTTCACTTCTAAGTCTCCCACTCCCACCCTGTCTGAAGAAACTCTACATTTGATATTTTAGAAAGTATTTTATGTATGAAATTCAAAGATCCTTAAATTATCTCTGCTTTGAAATGCATGATAAAGCAGACGTTGTTGTTGGAGATGTGGTAAACAAGCCTACAGACATTCTGTTCACAAATGTGGCATTCATTTTCATTACTGCCCCACTGACAACATGAAAACACAGACAAAAAGAAGCTACCAATTAGCTTTATAGTAATTGCGGGATTATAACCACTTCTGTGATTGTAAACTCTAAGACATCCTCATAATCCAAGTAACCATAGATTATCCTGTGTATTGATGTCTCTCCCTTTCAAGTTAAAAATAATTAAACTTTATATTTGCATCATACAGAAAATCATTGTTTTACTCCAAGGTAATTTGTGAAGATCAAAATCCTTCCCCCAGCCAAAGCGCCCCCCTTGAGTTAAATCACTAACCCTTGGTGGATGCTACGGCAGTTCACTTGGTATGTTGTGGAAGCTGGGGAGCACATCAGGACTTGATGCTCTACTCAAGGGTTTATAAGCCTTTGCTACTTTCTTCCGAGTACATTTACTCACGTGCATATGTCTCTGCCAGAAAACTGGGATTTCTGTCTTCCTCCAGAGCAAACACCTGCTCAGTCACTTTGATTTTTCTTGAAAGAGAGGAAGATTTGACAGTGTTCTTTCTGGCTTCAACAGAATCCAGGACTGGACATTTTTTCTCTACATGAGTTGGCAGTCAGTTTTGTTTCTGAGCCCAGTTGTCTTAGTTTTGCTGTTCAGGAATTCTCTTGACTGGCCTGGCACCAATTAGTAAACGTTGGGGAGTTTCTATTTAAAGATAACCAAACAAGTATTTTAAATAGACAAGCCCAAGAATATAGCAACGCTCAAAGAGAACCAAACACCACTTGTTTACATATTTAGTATCAGTTTTTCCCAAACTTATACACTGTAAGGCTGTGTAGGTCAGTCTGTAAATAGTAAATTTCATAGTAAATTTCATGCTTTTTAGCTTCGGAAATTGTTTGATAGACATTGTCCTCCAAATAGTGTAGGAAGTCTTGTCATTAATGTGTTTGCTCAGAGGAGTATTTTTTGCAGTCTAGTGCTTGACAAACTGTGCTGCGTGTTTATGTAGGTGGACAATAGGGATGGAGCAGAAGGTCTGTTCAGGGGAGTTAGCTGGCAGTGACTTCGAAGACAGCACAGTGGCTGTCATTTCATTTCAGTTTTAACTGATAATTTTTTAAATATGAAATTATATTTAGATAGGCTGTCAAGTTGATTTGAATGAAAATATATTTCTATTTAATTTTATGCTTTAGGGGCCAGCTGTAGTTTTACATTAGTCATGGCAAACCTGCCTCTGATTTAGGGCTGCACTGGCCCTCGGGATATTGTGTATGCATGCGCCACTTGTAAGATTCATGTCCTGATAACGCTGTCATGAGTTATGCCATTTGTAAACATTTTGTCAACTGGAGAAAGGGAAAAAAAAAGCAAATGCTGTGTTTGATAATGAATAAACACCTTTTAATCTACAGTTAAATACATGCTGTGGTTTATCATAGGAAAAAAAGATATCCAATTAATTTGTACAGTAATGGAGGAGAAAATTCTTCTTCATGCTTGTGTTCTTTATATATACTCTAGCATGTAAAATTGGTAGTTTTCCAGTTGAGGTTTAATTTTACTTCCTCACACTTGATGTGTCTGAAGCATAAAATGTTTATCTCTTTCTTCCATCTGGGTGAAGTATTGTACAATAGTTCAGACCAAAAATGGGTTCAGATTGCTTAGTGTATCAAATTTGATAGATTGACATATGTACTGTTTCACACCATCTTACCACGCAAAGCTCTGCTGCCAGCTACCACCATCTTACTCATCAGCATTCAGTAATTCATTTTCAGGCCAAATGGGACTGTTTGCCTAAAAAAAAGGTAGGTAGGAATTCACCTGTTGGTGCTTTCATGGAACTGGGGAAGATAAAGTATGTGTGTGTGTGTAGCTCAGATGGCTCTGAGGAGATCCCAGTGATGCTGTGTAGTCCTCACTTGGTCTTGAGCAAGGACTGCTTAAAGGTTTGTTCATCAGAAATCAGGTGATACGCGAACCTTGGCATAGTGGTGATCTTCAGCCAGCACTGGGAAGTTTAGATGTTACTTGGTTCGGGAATAAGTTGTGTGGCAATAAACCCAACATTTCCCTTTTAAGCTTTGTATCCAGCTCTCAAACGTATGCAAGGTTATGAATGTATCAAAATGAAAGTGCTTGTAGTATTCTAGGTTTGAGTCAAGTTAAACAGATAATGACTGCTTATAATTGACTCATTCCAATGGAAATAGCTTAGCTTTAATTTGACAACAAAAGCTTTTACAGAGTCATTGTTTTATTATAAGTATGCCATAAGCTATTAACTACTACTTTGTGGTTCATCTTATTTGCTTGAGTCAGCTCTCTAACGTCCTCAAAACACAGATTCTACCAGGAGCTATTTGTTACACAGTAATTAACTTGTTTATGATAAATGGATGGGAGAAATGTCACGGCATTTTGTTTTATGTATAAATGAAAAGCATCTGCATTCTAAAAATTTCATGTTAATTAGACTTAAAATAGTTTTCTCCAGTAGTGCCACAAATACCACATATTACCCATTGCTGCCAACACTGTAGCCTTCTGATGGGGTATTAACTGAGTTGATTTGTGGAGCCAATGCCCACTTTGGAATTTGGTCTTTGTTTTTTGTTTGCAGGATAATAAACTTAGTCTTGATCACTGATGCATACTGCTGGTTAAAATGGGATCGTTAACTGTTTTCTTCAGCCTGAGGAAAAATCTCAAAGCCTGCAGTATGTTGGAGGACAGTTATGGCACGGGTATCTTTCTCTTTGCTAATCATTAATGTTAACATTGGTCCTAAGGGGTGGGAAGCAATGACATGCAGTACTGCACTGAAGGCAGTTCAGCAGTGCCTCAGGGGACCTGATCCCTGAGTATTAACTCAGGTGTATGGGAATGATGATGAGTATTGGCCTCTTGGGGAAGGAGATAAATAAGGAGTAGGATGCTGAAAGTGACGTGCAATATGATACAAGGGGAGCTGACACTCCTGATACTGGCTTTATGCCCTTTTCATTTTTTGTGAGGTTTTTGAAGATTGTAACTTAAAAAAAGAAAACACCACCATTTTTCAAAATTAGAAATTCCAGTTTTATTGCTGTACTGTGCGACCGTGGCAACTGGTAGTGGGTGGAATGACATCACGGTGTTAAACACCTTCTTTTCCTAGCATTGTACCATCCCGGCTGTAGCAGGTCACCTCTCAAAAATACAGCTATACAAAACAACTTGGAGCTTCCCTCGTGATCAGCAGACAACGTAAGCAGTTGGGATGTACAGCCCCTTCTTTGTTTTAATGTGCATCTCTTCCTCTGCAGTGATTCATGTTTCTGCTGCCCATCCTAAATAGTGCCTGTATGTAGCAGGAGAACTTCACTTGTGTGGGCAGTTACGTTTGGGTAGAAGCGTGTGGAAGCAGAGTTTATTTTCATAGGGGAAGATGAATAAACGGTGCCAGCATGTTCTGCTTTAAGCAAGTGTATGAAACCAGAGGTAGCCAAGCTATATGCAAATGTATAAAAATGTAGTTGCTTTATAGTAAGATTTTTACTAGCGTTGGTTTTGGTTAAAAAAAGTGTGTGTGTGTGTGTATATATATATATATATATAAAAAACTTCATGGAAATATCTGGGGTTTCATTCATAAGAATTCAGTGTGGAGGTCATCTCTTACAAACTTTTTAGAGGTAGGATGTTCCTGATGGTGAGAGCTTTTTATTCTTCCCGCCTGAGGTTTCCAAGGCTTCATCTTTTTCAGCCCTCATCATTTCCAACAGGAGGGCTGCAAATACTGTTTTGAAAATATAGAACATACAGATAAAAAAAACCAAACCCAGATTCCCAGTTCTTCGTGGGGTGGTGTAGAAGCAAACAATAAATAAAAATGCTGAAAGGGTAAGGGGAGAATATGACCAAGCTGTTGTGAACTAGGTTTGAGTCTGGTTGCTAGTAACTCATGGAATAGTAAATGTAGGGTTATACTCTACTTCCTTTTGCAGGTAGATGCACTGCATTCTTGTGGTTGAGATAATCTAGGAAACTGAATGTGGAGTGTTTGAGTGAAGTGTACAAACAGCCTCCACTTGAAAAGAAAAAAATAGTACAGCTCCAAAATACTGTTGCATCCGTGAAAACTGGCCTCTGAAAGCATGAGACAAAGCTTTCAGGAGGAATGCCAGCAGCTTTGCAAAGTGTCCAGGGGGAAGCGGCTTGCCTCTGCCGTGACGAACTTGGCAAGCGTGTATCTGAAGTGTTGAGTGGCCCCAGAATGTGAAGTGGTTAATGGGGATGCTCTGCCTGTTTCTACATCTGGCTTCCCACTTCTCCTGGATCTACAGTTCAAAAAATGCGTAGGTACCCAGCTGCTGTTAACTTTGCTCATAGCTTGGTGCAGGTCAAGGTCTACCTCTGAAACATGCTCAGGGGGATGCTCCATCCTGCGGCAGTAGGGAGTGCAGGGTGTCTGCAGTGCTGCCTGTGCAGCTGGTCATGCCTCTGTCTTCTGAGTTATCCTTGGGGTGTTATACAGATGCTTTTTTTGAAGCAAAGACAGTGAGGGATATTGGGATTTGTTCTGGTGTTTGGTGGGCCTTTTGAGCACCTCTTGA